TCTGCAGCTCCAACATCCTCCAGGGCCCGTCCCTCCCCTCCATTCTCTGCACCACCTCTGGGGCATTCCGCCAGCAGCCCCCACAGTGTACGCCCAGCTGACTCCAGGCCCCCCATGTGCCACCAGCCCATGCCCCAGCTGTGACCTCCAGCTCCATCCCTGGGCCCCTTCCCCTCCCTGAGCATGGGCAGGGCATCTGCTGCCTCCTGGTGCCCTCCTGGCCCCATATTGAAGCCTACGTGAGGGCACAGGCTTAGGGGGTGTGGTCCCCAGCTGTGTATGGACAGGTGTTTTCTTCTGACTCCAGGCCCCCCATGTGCCACCAGCCCATGCCCCAGCTGTGACCTCCAGCTCCATCCCTGGGCCCCTTCCCCTCCCTGAGCATGGGCAGGGCATCTGCTGCCTCCTGGTGCCCTCCTGGCCCCATATTGAAGCCTACGTGAGGGCACAGGCTTAGGGGGTGTGGTCCCCAGCTGTGTATGGACAGGTGTTTTCTTCCTGGCATTGGGGGCTGCCACCCAGGAGTCAGTGGAGAAGGGTCCAGGGGGGTACTTGCCCCTCGAGCCCCTGGAGGACCTGAGCATAAGGGTGGTGCTCATCTCCAACACACGCTTCCTCCCCACGCTGCCCTTCTGCTGCCTCTCCCCACCCAGGGGAAGCCAAGGTCCACCCTCAGCCCTCTCCCTTTGGGCCGCGGCCCCGCAGGGCCCCCCCCCCCGCCACTGGCTGGGGCAGCTCCAGCGACTGCCCACGGCACGAGTTGGGGGCAGTTGAGGGGCCCAGTGCTAGGTCCACTACAGCTAGTGGGAGGCCCAGGGCTCCTTCTGCTGGGACTGTCCAGAGGGACTGACCCTGGCCCAGTCTAGGGAGGTGCTCCGGGCTCCCGAGACCCAAAGGCTTCTGGCCCTGCCACCACTGACATCTCTGGTGGCCTGGCCACCCGACTGCCCACGGCACGAGTTGGGGGCAGTTGAGGGGCCCAGTGCTAGGTCCACTACAGCTAGTGGGAGGCCCAGGGCTCCTTCTGCTGGGACTGTCCAGAGGGACTGACCCTGGCCCAGTCTAGGGAGGTGCTCCGGGCTCCCGAGACCCAAAGGCTTCTGGCCCTGCCACCACTGACATCTCTGGTGGCCTGGCCACCTCACTGCCTATGGCCACTGTCCCTGCTCAGGCCCCAGAGGTCGTCACTCTGACCTGCTCAGAGCCTTGCCTACACCGGGTGCAGCTCACCAAGGCTTTTGATACAGTCTCCCACAATATTCTTGCCAGCAAGTTAAGGGAGTATGGATTGGAGACTGTAGGATGGATAGAAAACTGGCTAGACTGTTGAGCCCAATGGGTAGTGATCAACAGCTCGATGTCAGGTTGGCGGTCGGTTTCTAGCAGAGTGCCTCAAGGATCTGTTCTAGAACCGGTTTTGTTCAAGATCTTTATTAACGACCCGGATGAGGGGATGGATTGCACCCTCAGCAAATTCACAGATGACATTAAGCGAGGGAAGAGGTAGATACCTTGGAGGACAGGGATAGGGTCCAGAGTGACCTAGACAAATTGGAGGATTGGCCCACAAGAAATCTGATGAGGTTCAACAAGGACAAGTGTAGAGTCCTGCCCTTGGGACAGAAGAATCCCAAGCATTGGTACAGGCTGGGGACCGACTGGCTAAGTAGCAGTTCAGCAGAAAAGGACCTGGGGGTTACAGTGGATGAGAAGCTGGAGATGAGTCAACTAACGCCTTTTGTCAACAGTTCTGTCGACAGAAGGCGTTATTGCATCTACGCTGTCCTTTGCGTCTACACTCTTATGTCGACAAAGCAGCTTGCTTTGTGGACAGAACTGGATGTAGTCTAGATGCTCTTTGTCGACAGAAGCTTTGTCGACAGTATCTGTCGACAAAACTTGTGTCCACAAAAGCCTGTAGTCTAGACGTTCCCATAGTGAATACCTTTATCTACTAAAGAAAGTCAGGAACTAGGCAGAAAGGAGTGCCCAAATCTGAGCTATCATTATTTATCTTTGAGTTTGACCCTTACAAGGGGTGGACATGTGGGAAGGGTAGATCATAGACTCCTAGAACAGTAGAACTGGAAGGGACCTCTAGAAGTCATCAAGTCCAGTCCCCTGCCCTCACGGCAGGACCAAGCACCATCTAGACCATCCCTGATAGACATTTGTCTAACCTGTTCTTAAATCTCTCCAGTGATAGGGATATTGTTTACAATGAGTTAATAAATGATTAAGGGATGCTATAGGCATGTTATAGACAGGAGCAGAATACAGGAAACATTCCCATTGGGGGGCCAGGCTGGACCGATCCCGGCACCAGAGCACTAAGGGAAACCCAAGGGCAGAGCAGCCACATTTGGCTGCAGAGAACATGGTGTGGACACTTCCCTGTCCAGCCCCCTCCCCTCTCCCTCACAGCCCCCGGCGGCCTTGCCGCAGTGCAAGGTCTCCTCTCACAGCCCCACACAAGCTCTTTGAGTAGCTGGACACCCACCCAAGGGCTGCATTTGGGTCCGACCCACCGGACCCTTTTGGGGCTGAGTCTGAGCAGGGATCCGGCCCTGCCTCCGGCTGTGGGGTGCCAGTTCCACTCTCGGGTGCAGTCTCCGTTCTAGCATCTCCTGCTGGGAATGGAGACCTGAGCCCCAAATCCCTGAGCCTGGCTTCAGCTCCGCTCCCCCAGACTCTGCCATTGCTTCAGCAAACCCCTCCCAGGGCTGCCCCTTGGGTGCCCCACGATTCCCGTTTCTCTCCTGTGGGTCACATGCTCGTTACAGCAAACAGACCGGGGCTCTGGAAACGGGTTTAATAAAATAATCCATCTTCTAAACCCAGCGCAGGAGATACCGAGATCCAGGTAACACAACAGCCCCTGTGCTCCATTGCCCACCTCTGTGTCCTACCGCCCTGGGCCAGAGCTCGGAATTCGGCCAGAGCCCTCTAAGGGGTCCAGGGGCCTCCTCCTGCAAGTCCTGGCTTCTCCCCCAGCCGGAGTCTGTCCCTGCTGCACCCACAGCCCTGCCCCAGAGTCCCCTCAGCCGCCCTCAGGCCTCTCAGTGATCCAGTCAGTGAGGGGATGGGGAGGGGAGGAGTGAGTGACAGTGGAGGGTCCATGGGGAACCAGATGGAGAAGGGGGCCAAGCCTTAAAAGAGGAGGGCAGCCTTGGGGGCAATGGGGCAGGGCAGGCTGTGGGGAAGAGGTGAGACATAGCGTGGGGCCTCAGGGACCCAGGTAACAGCAATGAGAGAAGTAGGAGCCTGAGGAGGTTCCCAGAGCCGGATTCCCCAGTTTGTGCCGCTGACACGGCTCAGTGAGGTCAGGGAAGGGCTCAGTGTCTCCGACTGGCCAGTCAATGATCCAGGGAAGAGGGCCCAGCCCCCGGCCACCAGCCAGTGCTGCCTGGAGCACACTCTATGCAACTTTAGGTCCCTTTATGAGCAATGACCTGGAGCAGCCTGTCCTGGATCTGCTTGGTCCTCACCCCATAGATGATGGGGTGCAGCATGGGGGGCACCAGGAGGTACACGTTGGCAATGAGAATGTGGAAATACAGGGGCACATTCTGGCCAATACGGTGACTCAGATAGGAGAAGAGAGCAGGGACATAAGAGACTAAAATGGCGCAGAGGTGGGAGCCGCAGGTCACAAAAGTCTTGATTTGGGCGTCCTTGGTGGGGAGGCGGAAGATGGCCTTGAGGATCTGGGTGTAGGACACGGCAATGAGAAACAAATCCAGACAAGCCACAAAGAATGCCTGAAAGAGGCCAAAGGAACTACTGATGTTGCTGTTGGCGCAGGCCAGCTTCACCACAGCGATGTGCTCGCAGTATGTGTGGGGGATGACGTTGGTTCTGCAATACGGCCACTGCCTGGCCAGCAAGGGCTGCGGCAATACGATCATGAAACCACGTATTACCACGCCCAGGCCAATTTTGGCCACCACAGAGTTCGTCAGGATGGTGGAATGTCTCAGGGGATTACAGATGGCCACGTAGCGATCAAAGGCCATGGCCACAAACACCCCAGACTCCACCACAGTGAAGCAGTGAAAGAAAAACATCTGGGTGAAGCAGGCATTGAAATTGATCTCCCTGGCATTGAACCAGAAGATGCTCAGTGTTTTGGGAACAGTGGAGGAAGAAACACCCAAGTCGCAGATGGCCAGCATGCAGAGGAAATAGTACATGGGCTCATGGAGGCTCGGTTCTGTCTTCACGATGAACATGATGGTGAAGTTCCCCAAGAAGGCAATGGCATAGATGATGCAGAAGGGGATGGAGATCCAGACATGGGCCCATTCCAGGCCAGGGATGCCCAGCAGGATGAAGGTGGAGGGGTTGGTGAAGTAGGTCATGTTGGAATCTGACATGGGGCAGGGAGAAGGGGTCCAACTTGGAGGCAGAACGGCGTTTCCTGCATGCGCCGTACGTTCCCCTCACTTGCACATCCCCAGGGTGGAAGGAGATGGCCGCAGCACACACGCCTGGAGGGAGAGACGAGGACCATGAGACAGGACATTCACCGCTGGGGGCTGTGCTCACGTCCGAGGCACATCGGTCATTTTTACCACCTCACAAATGATGTTTCCTGCAGCCCGAGTGATAAACCGATGAACGTCTGCCCCAGTGCTGCCGCGTCCATGCGTGATGGTGTCCGTGTGTCTCTGCCCCCTGCCCGCGGTGGGCCTGGAACCTCAGCAGGCACCCCCAGGACACACACACGTGCACACTGGCTGTCCCCCTTTGGCCCTGAGTGCAAGGAAACCAGGGTGGAGAGTTCTCACCACAGCCATGGAGGGTCGGGGCAGCAGCCCAGAGCCCAGGGAGACAGGGCCCCACAGGAAGCTCCCTGAGCCAGGAGAATGGTTGAGGGCTGCATCCACTGTGCAGATCTGTGGGGGGTGTGACAGGAGTGGGGGGGTCAGGCAGCCCTGAGCGTCCATTCTCTGCCCCCATGGCTGGGCAGAGCTGCCTTGCTTGGCATGACAGGGGAGGGCCCATCCCTGCAGTGCCCATCTCTTCAGGCTCCACCCCTGCAGTTCCCACTGGCCAGGCCCCACGCTCCCTAGGATCTGTGAGCTCAGGGCTGCACGGGATCTGCTCCTCCCCCTGCTTCCTTCACCCCCTCCCCCCCAGTAGCAGGCCAATGAAGAACCCCCATCCTGGGCACCTGCCCCTCCCTCGAGACTCTCTTGCATCCCAACCTCCTTCCCACACACCCAACCTCTTGGCCACAGCCTGGAGTCTGCTCCTGGACCCCCAGTGCCTCATCTCCACTCCTCCCCACAGCCCGCACCCCAAGTCAGAGCCCTCACCCCCTCCTGCACCCCTCCCACTGCCCCAACTACAGCCCCCTGCTGCACCCTAATAACCCCAGCTCCTTCCCCCAAAGAATGAATCTGGCCCTGGCTATTGTATAAAGTAAGAGGCCAGCGATCCCATCTGGAAGCATGGGACCATCAATTGGGGGAGGGTCTGTTGATAGAGATGCTCTAAGTGCTAGGCAGGAGGAGAGGATGAAAGTTTGGGTCAGATCAGATGAGACAGAATCAAAAGAAAAAGAGGCTAACACATCAAGAAATGGCGGATGGATAAACAGTGACAAAGTATGAAAGTGTTTATACACAAATGCTAGAAATCTAAATAGCAAAATGGGTGAACTCGAGTGCCTAGTTTTAAAGGAGGATATTGATATAATAGGCATCGCGGAAACTTGGTGGAGTGAGGACAATCGATGGGACACAGTCAGACCCGGGTACAAAATATATCGGAAGGACAGAACAGGTCATGCTGGTGGGAGAGGGGCACTATATGTGAAAGAAAATGTAGAAACAAATGAAGTAAAAATCATAAATGAGCCAAATTGTTCCATAGAATCACTACGGATAGCAATTCCATGCTCCAATTATAAGAATATGTCAGTAGGGATCTATTATCGACCACCTGATCAGGACAGTGATAGTGACTATGATTGCTGAGGGAGATTAGAGAGGTTATCAAATTGAAAAACTCGTCAGACCCGGGTACAAAATATATCGGAAGGACAGAACAGGTCATGCTGGTGGGAGAGGGGCACTATGGCTGGGGCTAAAGTTTAGACACACTCTATATGTGAAAGAAAATGTAGAAACAAATGAAGTAAAAATCATAAATGAGCCAAATTGTTCCATAGAATCACTACGGATAGCAATTCCATGCTCCAATTATAAGAATATGTCAGTAGGGATCTATTATCAACCACCTGATCAGGACAGTGATAGTGACTATGAAATGCTGAGGGAGATTAGAGAGGTTATCAAATTGAAAAACTCACTAATAGTGGGGGATTTCAACTGTCTCCATATTGACTAGGTACATGTCACCTCAGGACGGGATGCAGAGATAAAATTTCTTGATACCTTATAGGGCTGCTTCTTGGAGCAGCTGGTTCTGGAACCCACTAGGGGAGAGACAATTCTCGATTTAGTCCTGAGTGGAGCACAAGAGCTGGTCCAAGAGTTAAATATAACTGGACCGCTTGGAAATAGTGACCATAATGTCATCAAATTTAACATCCCTGTGGTGGGAAAAATACCTCAGCAGCTCAACACTGTGGTATTTAATTTCAGAAAGGGGAACTGCACAAAAATGAGGAAGTTAGCTAAACAGAAATTAAAAGGTACAGCAACAAAAGTAAAATCCCTGCAAACTGCATGGAAACTTTTCAAAAATAGCATAATAGAGACCCAGCCTAATTGTATCCCCCAAATTAAAAAACACACTAAGAGAACCAAAAAAGTGCCACTGTGGCTTAACAAGCAGGTAAAAGAAACAATGAGAGATAAAAACACATCTTTTAAAAAATGGAAGTCAAATCCTAGTGAGGAAAATAGAAAGGACCATAAACTTTGTCAAATTAAGTGTAAAAATGTAATAATAAAAGCTGAAAAGGAGTTTGAAGAGCTAACCAGAAACTCCAAAAGTAATAGTAAAATGTTTTTAAGGACATCAAAAGCAGGAAGCCGGCTAAACAACCAGTGGGGCCCTTGGACAATTGAGATGCTAAAGCAGCACTCAAAGATGATAAAGTCATAGCGGAGAAACTGGATGAATTCTTGGCTTCAGTCTTCATGGCTCAGGATATTGGGGAGATTCCCAAACCTGAGCCATTCTTTTGAGGTGACAAATCTTAGTAATGGTCCCAGACTGAGGTGTCATTAGAGGAGGTTTTGGAACAAATTGATAAACTGAACAGTAACAGGTCACCAGGACCAGACGGCATCCACCCAAGGGTTCTGAAAGAACTCAAATGGGAAATTATGGAACTATTATCTGTGGTTTGTAACCTAGCCTTTAAATCGGCCTCTGTACCTAATGATTGGAAGATAGCAAATGTGACGCATATACAATAATTCTTCATTTAACACGTTCCCGCTTAACACGTTTTCGCGATAGCACAATTTTTTTTTGTAGGGAACGTTTTTTGAATAACACGACCGTCCCCAGAATAACATGATTTCCCCAGCTGGCCCATTTCTGGCGGCTGCATGGGGCTTCCCCCACCTCCCTGCAAAGCGGTGGAGGGTTTGCTACTTGCCGTGCCGTTCCCCGGCGACCCTCCCTCGCCGGATGCTGTGTGGGTCCTGGCAGACCCGTCACAGGGGCATACTCCCAACCCAATCCCCCTCCCCTCTGCTCTCCTTCCCTTCCCCAGAGCCAAACACCTCCCCTCCCCTCTGTAACCCAGTCCCCTTTCTCCCCCAACCTTATGCCCTGGTCCCAACAGACACCACCGCTTGAAACGCAACCCCCACCTTTTCCATTCTTTTCAATGGGAAAATTGACCCCTCAGAACACGTTTTCACTTAACATGATCATTTTCTGAAACACATCAATAGTGTTAAATGCGGAATTACTGTATTTAAAAAGGGCTCTTCAGGTGATCCTGGCCATTACAGACCAGTAAATCTAACATCAGTACCGGGCAAATTAGTTGAAAAGACAGTAAAGATTAAAATTGTCAGACACATGGATGAATATAATTTGTTGGGGGGAAGTCAACATGGTTTCCGTAAAGGGAAATCCTGCCTTACTAATCTGCTAGAGTTCTTTGAAGGAGTCAACAAACATGTGGACAAGGGGGATCCAATGGATTTAGTGTCCTTAGATTTCCAGAAAGCCTTTGACAAGGTCCCTCACCAAAGACTCTTAAGTAAAGTAAGTTGGCATGGGATAAGAGGGAAGGTCCTTTCATGGATTGATAATTGGTTAAAAGACAGGAAACAAAGAGTAAAAAAGGTCCGTTTTGTGAGTGGAGAGAAGTAACTAGTGGGGTCCCCTAAAGGTCTGTCCTGGGACCGATCCTATTCACCTTATTTATAAATGATCTGGAGAAAGGGGTGAGCAGTGAGGTGCAAAATTTGCCGATGATACTAAATTGCTCAAGGTAGTTCAGACCAAAGCAGCCTGTGAAGCGCTTCAAGAAGATCTCACCAAACTAAGCGACTGGGCAACAAAATGGGAAATGAAATTTCCTGTTGATAAGTGTAAAGTGATGCACATGGGAAGAAATCAGCCCAACTAGACATACAACACGATGGGGACTCGTTTGGCTACAAATCCTCAAGAGAGATCTGGGCGTCATTGTGGCCAGTTCTCTGAAAACAGCCACTCAGGTGCAGCGGCCATCAGAAAAGCAAATAGAAAGTTGTGAGTCCTTAAAAAAAGGATAGAAGATAAGACCAAGAAAATCTTATTGCCTCTATATAAAACCATGGTGTTCCCACTTCTGCATACAGACGTGGTCACCTCATCTCAAAAAAGATATATGGGAATTGGAAAAAGTTCAGAAAAGGGCAACGAAACTGATGAGTGGTTTGGAACAGGTCCCACATGAAGAAAGTCTCCTTCTTTCTAAGCTGAAAAGTGCAAATCTTTTTAATCTAAGGGGAGATATGATAGAGGTCTATAAAATCATGACTGGTGTGGAAAAAGTGAACGAGGAAAAATTATTTATTTATTTCCACAATATAAGAACTAGGTGTCACCAAATGAAATGAATCGGCAGCAGGTTTTAAACAAACAAAAGGAAGTTTTTCTTCACTCAGCGCACAATCAACCTGTGGAACTCCTCGCCAGGGGATTTGGTGAAGGCCAGGACTTTAACAGGGTTCAAAAAAGAGCTAGATGGATTCATGGAGATTGGGTCCATCAATGGCTATTAGCCTGGCTGGTTAGGAATGGTGTCCCTAGCCTCTGTTTGTCTGGAGGTGGGAGACAGGGGAGGGATCACATGAGGATTATCTGCTGTGTTCCCTCCTTCTGGGGCACCTGGCATTGGCCACTGTGGGCAGAC